CATTCTTCTTCTTTTGTTTTAGTTCTCACCAGAGGATATGTTTTCATTTTTTTTTAAGAGAGAGAGGAAGGGTAGGGGGAGAGATTGAGAGAGAGAGAGAGAGAGAGAGAGAGAGAGAGAGAGATGTTCATCAGTTGCCCCCCATACACACCCCAACCAGGGAGTAAACCCACAACCTAAGTGATGTGCCCTGATCTGGGATCGAACCCGAGATCTTTTGGTGCATGGGACAACACTCCAACCAAATAAGCCACCTTGGTGGCCAAGACCAGGCCTTCATTCTTAATGAAACAATATAATTTAAACAATGCTACGTTGTATAATTTTTTTTCTTTCAAATTTATAATTCTTCTTTTCTTTTTTTGAAGTATAGTTGGATTACCTTGTCATTGTAATGCTATTAAAGATTCTTAAATTGGTATACGTTTCTGATAATGGTACTTTAACTTAAAATCCAGGTGACAGCTCTTTTTCTACCACAGAGAATCAACTCCTTAATGTCTTTAGATCTCCTGTATTTCCCTTCCTCTTCTCAGTTGCCAGTTTTTGACTTTCCTTTCTAACGTTTAGACTCCATCAGGACCTAGGCAGGTCCTGATGACTTTTTCTGCAGCAGCCTCCCTCAGATGTTCTCCAAGCTCAACAGTAAATCCAGTACTGCACCAAGAATTCACCCCCACAGTAGCCATGGCCTTCCCTGTTCTCACATTGTGAAGCACTCAGCACTGAGCCCAACCCATAGCATTTATTATTTTTTTATTATTTAAAAAATATATTTTATTAATTATGCCATTACAGTTGTTCTATTTCCCCCCTTTATTCTCCTCCATCCTGCACACCCCTCCCCCACCATTCCCCCCCTTTAGTTTATGACCACGTGTCTCAAGTTCTTTAGATTCTATATTTCCCATACTATTCTTGCCCTCCCCCCTGTCTATTTTCTACATACCATCTATGCTACTTATTTTCTGTACCTTCTGCCCCATTCTCCTTCTCCCATTCCCCTGTTGCTAACCCTCCATGTGATCTTCTTTTCTATGGTTCTGCTCCTGATCTAGTTGTCCTCTTAGTTTGCTTTTGTTTTAAGTGTGGTTGTTGATAACTGTGAGTTTGCTGTCCTTTCACTGGTCATCTTTTTTATGTTCTTTTTCTTAGGTAATTCCCTTTAACATTTCATATAATAAGGGCTTGGTGATGATGAACTCCTTGAATTTGATCTTATCTGAGAAGCACTTTATCTGTCCTTCCATTCTAAATGAAAGTTTTGCTGGATAGAGTGGTCTTGGTTGTAGGTCTTTGATTTTCATGACTTGGAAAACTTCTTTCCAGCCCCTTCTTGCCTGTAAGGTCTCTTTTGAGAAATCAGCTGACAGTCTGATGGGAACTCCTTTGTAGGTGACTGTCCCCTTATCTCTTGCTGCTTCTAGAATTCTCTTCTTCATTTTAATCTTGGCTAATGTAATGATGATGTGCCTTGCTGTGTTCCTTCTTGGGTCCAACTTCTTTGGGACTCTCTGAGCTTCCTGGGTTTCCTGGAAGTCTATTTCCTTTGCCAGAACAGGGAAGTTCTCTTTTATTATTTGTTCAAATAAGGTTTCCACTCATGACTGTGCCTCTTCCCCTTCTGGTACCCCTATAATTCAGATGTTGGAACGTTTAAAGATGTCCTGGAGGTTCCTAAGCCTCCTCCTATTTTTGAATTCTTGTTTCTTCATTCTTTTCTGTTTGGTCATTTTTTTCCTCCTTCTGGTCCACTCCTTTGATCTGAGTCCCAGTTTCCTTTCCATTACTATTGGTTTCCTGTGCATTTCCCTTCATTTCAATTAGTTTAGCCTTCAGATATTCCTCTAATTTGTGACTAAAATCAACCAGTTCTGTGAGCATCCTGATCACCAGTATTTTGAACTGTGCATCTGAAAGTTTGGCTATTTCTTCAATTCTTAGATTTATTGGCTCTGGGGCTGAGTTGTTCTTGAGCCATGTTTTTATCTGTTTGTGCCTGTTACATATGAGGAGCGGAGCCTTAGTTGTTCACCAGGGCAGGGCTACCCAGGTCGCTGGTTTGTGATGCTGTATGTGGGGGCGGGGTCAGAGAGGGACAATGGAGGTTCGCTATGCCGCTTCCTGCCACTGGGGCCTGCACAGTCCGTCTCACTGCTAGCTCCTTTACTGTTTTATTGGTTTGGATGAAGGGTTTGTTGTTGTCAGACTTCCATGTAGTTCAATTTTCTGTGGTTTGGCTTCATTTTTGTTGCTAAAACTTTGTTGTTTTTAAACTTAGTTGTGCGAGAAGGTACAGTTCTTCCACCTACGCCTCCATCTTGGCGGAAATCCCCGGATCCATAGCATTTAATACGTGTTGGCCACAAACATTTTTGTTTCTGCTCTCCTTGCTTACTTATACCATGACCTAATGCCATCTTCAGTATTTCCCTAGAGTTTGACATCTTGTCTAATTTTGGAATTATTGTTGTCACATTTTCTGCCTAAATCAGTGGGATGATTTAGTATTTACATCATAGGCTACAGTGGGGATATTCAGATTGATCCATGGTGGGCCACTTCATCCTAATTCTAGCAGGGGTGCAGAGTGCATGACCTTTTAAGAAAACTGATCACATAAGTGAATCTGTAGGATCCACTCCTAGTATGGGAGGGAGTATTAGACTTGCAATGGAATTGAATGCAGATGGAGGAAAAATTATTTACCTAGTGACATTTCTATCACCTCCTTTCATTTTTCTCCAGTATGAATGATATGGTTCCAGTGGAATTAAACTTGGGCCACTAAAAATTGCATAATCACATTCAGCGTCAGCTTCAAGTACTAGTTGCTTAAACAAGGCTACCAGAGCTCCTAGAATCATCAGCTGTGAATTGGGTCTCCATTCTGTCTGTGTCGTATCATCACCCGCAGAGCTTTTTGAAAAGTACGGATGCCCAGGTCTATCCCAATGAGTCAGACTGAGTTGGTGTTAGGTAGAACCCACTCACTGATATTTAAAAAGGCTCCTCAAGTAATGTGGAGGATTGAAGGTCTCTGAATGGCCATAAAGAGACTTCAGACATACCGACTACATTTTTACTTGTACTAACTAACTTAGTTGAACTCTTCTCCTCACAACCTAAGGACCACCAAAAATACATGCTAAAACATTAGAGCAATACAAATGAAAATAATAGAGAAATCTGATTTCCAATCTTATTAATCTGTCTCTATCTCTTATTAACAAAGGGACCTTGAGAAGGATGCCTAAATTTACTGACTTTCAGCTTCCCATTTGTCAGCTGGGAATAGTAATACTTCTTTGTAAGTGAAGATTAAAATAATGATGTGATATGAAAACATTTAGTACAGTACCCTGCACACAAGAAGAGTGCAGTAGATGTTTGCTTTTTAAAATTTTCGGTCTTTAGTTTCTTCATGTGTACAATGAGGAGCTTGGATATCCTTTTAAGTTCCCCTAATCACCGAGTCTCATTCTTTGCCTTAAGCATTATGATTGAAAACAAAAACAACAACAACAACAATAGCAACACATATCATCCTTTACAAATTCAGTTTATGTGCAGGAAGGAAGCTATTAGCACACAGTTGACAGGAAATGAATTTGGAGTTGCTTTTAGTATCATGTTCACGTATCTCATTTGGCCGCTCTTTCAACTTGATGTGTCTGTGAAGTGGCTGGCCAGTGTTGGGGAAGTGGTTTCAGTTGTGGGACAAGATTTTTTGACTGAGTAATGCCATCTGTTTTATGGAGGCATCTGTCTCGTGCCTTTGACCACCATTCACTTGCCTCAACCACATGACTGTCCAACCTACTTTATACTTGTAATAATGGCGGTAGCACCTGGCATTTATATTATAGCACCTGTTTGATGTGATACACTTCAGAGCAGCCAGGTGAAATCAGGAAACATCTTTCAATTACTGCCTGGCTAATTGGTTTTTGTAAAGAAAAAATATTGCTGCCTCTTGATCCATTCCCAGAGAGTCATAGGGGACATCATTCTAAGATAGCCTGGTGTCAGGGAACAGTTTGTGATTCATGGAAATGACTCAGTAAGTCATCTGCCCTGCTAAATTGTGACACATACTGCCTTTGCCTGTCATCCAGCCCAAATTGAAACTCAGGCAAATGAACAAGCTTCTAAGCTTGTCTTGTTACCTAGCTCTGGCTAACCAAAGCAGAGGAGTAGGAGGGTCAAGGGATTGCTCGTGTTATAGGCAGATAACTTGTCTGTGGGAAAGGCTGCTTGGATGATGATGTTTCCTGGTGCCTAGCAACGTGTAACATGACATGCATTTCGACGGAAGGGTTAAGAGCAAGAGTTTAGGAATCATGAAAAGCTGGAGTCAAATTTTGGTTTTATCACTATCTATAGCAAGAGTCAGCAAATTTTTCTCTATAGAGCCAGCCAGGAAATATGTTAGGCTTTGTGGGCCATATGATCTCACTCACAACTACTCAACTCTGCTGATCTCACTCAAAACTAGTCAACTCTGCTGGGACCCCCTAAGAGTCAAAAGGGGTCCTAGACAGTACAGAAATGAATGGGCATGGCTATGTTCTAACATAATTTTATTTGCAAAAACAGGCAGTGGGCCAGATTTGGTCTGTCGCTGTAGTTTGCTCACCCCTGAGCTACAGGATCTTGCACTAATAAGTTACTTTAATCTTCTAGGTGTCTTTCAGGATTAAAAAGAGATAATGTATATAATAAAATACTTATCCCGTGTTTGGTATAAAGTAAGCACTTGAAAACAGTAGTCACTATTATTCTATTAAAATGTTACATATCATAATTTAAGATGCCATTGATTGTAAGGTACATCTGTATTTCAGAGTTGTTAAAATGTGATGAAAAGTCTTAGAATTGATTAAATCAACAATAATTAATTAGAGTAACAAGTTTATGTTAAGGAGTTTAAATCTTGTTCTACCAGTGGTAGTTTAAAGCTTCTAGTGTAACATTCTTTGTGATGTTTTTCTTGTCAGAGACACATGTCATGAGCTCCTGGGACATGTTCCACTGCTTGCGGATCCTAAGTTTGCTCAGTTTTCCCAGGAAATAGGCCTGGCATCTCTGGGAGCATCAGATGAAGACGTGCAGAAATTAGCCACGGTCAGTTTATTTTCAACTTAAAAAACTGTTCTACTTATGTCCATTTGTAAGGTAGAGAAAGCTCTAGCCTCATCAATTATGAATTTTAAGGCAAACATTCTGGATATGGCATGGTGACTTTATCTTTTCCCATGAAGTGTTTTTTTGAAGAGTGTGGTTTTTTGGCTGATTAACCATCCAAATATTTGTATTTTATTCTTCTCATTCAGGGGTTGGCTAAGTAGTAAATATTTTAGCCTTGCAGCTCATGAGGTCTTTGTCACAACTACTCAGCTCAGTGACTGTGATGCAAATGCAGCCACAGACAATATGTAAATGAATGAATAAGGCTGTGTTCTAATAAAACTTTATTTACAAAAAGCTGGTGGTGGGCCAGATTTGGCCTGATGCTGTAGTTTGCTGACTCTCATTTTAGTTCAGTGTTAATTTTCTAGAAATATTAATAATAGTAAAAGCTATGCATTTATGATTGTGCTTGGAATTATGTCTTTGACTAGTTGCTATGGTTGTGGTCAGTCCCAGTTTGAATCAGCAGTTAGAAGCTTAGGCTAAACAATTATGATATATACAAAACCAGAAAAATATTTAATAGGTGGTATGGTCTCAGAAAGGTTCTTCTCAAAATATGCAACATGAGAGTAAAGGTATAATATTGGCAGTTATCTTGCAGATGCTGAAGAGCCAGATATGTTAAATTCATGTGACTTGTCTTAGCTTATTTTCAAAGAGCTGAGGGTAAGAAAGAGTTGGTTTAACAAACTCCCTTACCTACTGGGGCTAGTCAGGTAGCCTAAATGAGCAAATCTACCTGAGGGAGAAAAAATGAGATCTCAAGTTGTATTTGACACAGATACACGTTGATGTCATAGTAGGCATGCAAGAATACTCTTTGCTCCCATTATCAAGTTTTTTTCTTATATTTCTGAAGACATACAGCCCTTCCACATATTTCGTACCTCCTACTTACGATAGAGATATGGGAACCTGCAAATATTTCCCTACTAAAAGAGGAACAGCAGTGCAAAGCCATTGGGTTGGAGTGGCCCTGAGTTGGGGCTGGTGGGGCCTGCAGCGGCTTTGGGAGGGCACCAGTCTTCTTCATCAGAGGGGTGGGCCTTGCTTCCCACTCATGGCTGCTAGACAAAAATGCAGGCCTCCGTGTGGCCAGACCTATGACCTTTTGAGAGACTGGCCATGTAGATTTCTAGATAGAATTGAATGATTTTTAAAATTTTGGCTCATAAAAAATCTACCATTTTGAGCTGGGGAAAATATAATTGTAGACAGAATCAGGTTCTTGACTTACCAATTTCTTACCTTTGTCCCAGGGAGTATATCTCATTTATATTGACCATCTATTTTACTGCATAACAAATAATCTCATAACTTAGTGGCTTTAAACAATGAACATTTACTACCTCATCTTTTGACTTGCTCATATTCTATTAGGAGATCACTCCAGCCCACACTCAAGGGTGGGGGGAATTGGGCTTCACTTTTTTGGGGAAAGGGCTGTCAAAGTGTTTGTGGATGTATTTTAAAACTATCCATCACACATGAGTCCTATAATTTAATTCTCAAACCTTGGATGTGGGTTTAAACCCCACATTTTAGAACATTTTCCATGCCTTTTAAATTCCCCTTGAAATGTTCTGGTTTCAGTCTTTGACACCAAAAGCTCATACTTTTGATCAGGGATGAATGTATCGCTTACTTGTCTGACTCTAAAGAGCCACACACGGGGGTTTAACTCTGCCAGGGTGTGTGTGTGTCCAAGAAGAGGAGAAGGAGTAAGGTAGGACTTGATGAATGTGAATGAAGGTGGAGCCTAGTGAGTGAGTGATCCCACTTTCTTCTTAAAAGAAGAGACAAGAAAGGAGTTTTATTGTCCCTTATTTTTATACTCCATCAAATGATGATTAATTAATTGTCATTCAAACTAACATGTACAAAAAACATATGTTCCCCACATTTTAGACATTTATAGCCTATATAGATAAAACCAAGATTTTTCAGAGAAGAGAAAGTTTGTATTGAGTCTTGAAAAATGACAAAAAGTCAGCCAAGTAGTAGAGAGGGAAAGGGGGGATAGAAGGAAGGTTTCAGCTGAAATAAGAAGTCTCTCTGGTTTGTGGCTCAGCAGGGAATGTCTGTTCACCAGCATTGAGGGCCGTGCTGAAGCCCAGGGTTGCCTTTTGTATTAATTTTCTGTTGCCACCATAACCAATCATGCACGACTTAAAACCATACAAATTTGTCATCTTACAATTTCATAAGGTTAGAAGTTCAATAGCATTCTCACTGGGCTAAGGTGTGGGCAGGGCTGTTCTCCTTTCGGAGGCTCCAGGGGAAGATCGTTTCCTTGCCCACATTCCTTGGCTAGTGGCTCTTGCCTTCCATTTTCCAAGGAGCGACGTTGCATCTTTCTGAATTTTCTTCCATTTCCACATCTCTCTCGCTGACAATAGCTGGGAAAGGTCTACTTTGAAAGACTGATGAGATGCACTGGGCCCACCTGGGTAATTCACATTCCTTTTCCCTTAATCATATCTACCAGGGCAACATTTTCACAGAATCTGGGGATTAGGGCATGAACACCTTTGGGGCATCATTATTTTACATTTCTATTTTCATATTTTTAAGAAAAAAACCAAATACATGTACCTTGAAAACTATTTTATTAGGACCAGTAAATCTGTAGGATGATCAAGTTTTCTTTTGGAGATCACTTGTCTTAGCATGATTTCAGTACCCTTGGCTGTGGATTATCATAGCTCCAATGGCTAAAACCACTTCCATCTGTTAGAGAGCATTAGGTGGTTAATCTCATTTCTCTCTCTCTCCCCCTCTTTTTTTATTGACCCTTCTTTGGAATGTGCCTGCTTTTCTAAAAAAAAAAACAAAAAACAGTTCAAGCCAACAGATATTCTTTAAGTGGCTATAGAATCTTAGGTTCCAGGAAGTAGGGATAGGAAAAGCCTGAAGGTCAGTACTTGCCTCAAAGAACTCACATTCTAGTCCACCAAAATACAGAATACTCGAGTCAGTGTCCACCTTTGTTGCAATATAGGAGGATCTTTTTTGGAGACATGGATTTAAGGTAAATCTATGTGTGTGTGTGTGCATAAACTCTGAGTTCATGGTTGGAGCAGGGATTCAGCATGGGAACAGGGCCAGCACAGATGTTCCTCTCTATATAGGCAGTGACTGGGGACAGGTTAGGGGGGATCGAGAGTCTTCTAAGGGAGCCGACATGCCTGGAATCTTGCAGTTTAAGACAAGAACAGAGTGTAAACTTGCAAAAACACTTTTACCTGGAAGATTTGAGTCCCTTCTAAATGCAGCAGTGATTTGGGGCAGAGGAGGGGAGTCTCGCCATGATTTTGCCTGACCTTGTTTTTTTCCCCCAATATTGCCTGAGCCCTACCCCAATTCTCTTTGGTTTTCTCTCTCACAAGCCTTACAGTTCTAGTTCTTTCCAACTTTATAGATTGCCCTACTTACTTTGAACAGTGTTTTGCAGACCAAAGAGAAATTTGGAAAGCTTTTATAGTGTGATGGGGAAGATAAGAGAAGGTTAGGATGATTTTTCCTGAAATGACACTAAAAAACTTTCTTTGACTTTTAGAACACATCTCACTCCTCAGTGAAAACCAAAGTGAATGGAAAACTGCTGAAAAATGGTCTTGAAAGAAAATAGATTTCAGCCAGGCAATTTCAAAGTAGACCCTGGAATAAATAACCTATTAGCTGTCATGCATATTAATGACCCTCAAGCCATACACTGAAGCTAGAAGCCTGATTTAATGACCTTGTTGCAGAGACTAAGAGAGTAGAGCTAAGGTCTCACTAGAAAGGTAAAAAGTCCAATGATGGGCGACAGTGGTTAGCAAGTCTTAGCTTGTCCAGATGAGAAACGAAGGTATCATTAGCTGATTTCCTTAAAGTTGTTCCCATTAAGTCCCAAGAAGAAATCATAGAATAAAATGAGGTGAGATGTACCGAAGGAGAAAAATCCATAGAGAGGACAAATGGAAAACCACAAAAATCGCTTTATATAGACCAGTGAGACAGGCCATATTACTCTTTTACTCGAGGTGAGATTTATATTATTAATGACTCTCTTTACATAGTGCCTGCTTTTCCTTGTTTAGTGAATGTAAGCACTGATAAAAAAGAGAGTCAGACCTTGTGAAAGCAGATGCTTAATAACTTTCTGTGATGTGCTGTCACCAAGTCTATCCAAGGAAGAAAACAACCTCCACTAGGACTGGTGGGCACCGCCAAACTCTGTCTTGTCCCAGCTGCTTTTGAACTTCTCTGTCCGATTTCAGAGGGACCTGGCTATTGCCTGTAGCTACCGCCTCCCCTTGCTATATTTCTGCCTGATATTTATTTTGACATTTTAATAATGCTCAGTTTTGAGAATGCAGCTATCTTTGCTGTTTTATGGGGCAATGATTTCTATGCCCTGAGAACCATTTAAATGAAACTCTTTTGTATCTGAAGAAATTGATGATGCTGCTTGGTAAATGTATTTCAAATGAACTGTTATACATGTAAATAATTTGGCCTCCGGTGGGTAATGAATAAGACCACGGGTCTGGGCAGCTGCACTCTTTTCATATCATCATAGCAGCCCAGGGTCTGTGTGTGACAGATATGCAAAAATATTTCCAAGAAGGGCTGCTTAGAGTGTGCTATAATTCTGAGACCAGCCATGTCCCCCTGTAGTGCTGGCTTAAGTGGATTTAATAGATTAGTGTCTTCTTTAAAGGTTGTTAAACATAAATGCCTTCCGGGACCGGATGGGTAACCAACATGTGTGAAACAGCCTGCTATAAGATAATAAGGAGTATTGGAGCCCGTGGAGAACTGGAGAATACACATTATACCTAAAGGCTTCCAATTCAAAAATTAAAACAAAACAAAAAGCTCTTTGGCTACAAGCGATGCCTGGGAGTTGAAACAGAGCTCCAGGCTCTCAGAGGCCAGCCCTC